TGATCAGGTGTGCTGGAGACACCCTTATGGGGCAAGACTTGCTTCAGTGGGGCTTTGGTGGTCACTGAGTCTGCCCCCTTATGGATCTGAGGAGTTTTAATCTGGATGGTCCCACTCTGACCACCTGGTACACTGGCTCTTGGATCTCTAAGGAGGTGCTAATTTAGCCTCTGCCTGATGCGACACAGTAGGAGCTATGAAGAGATCTGCAGATTCCTCTTCTTTGTTTGGGGTTTGGAGATGCCCACATGAGGCCCAGCTGTGAAGCAATGCAAGCTGCTGTGGAGCCTTTGGGCCTTCTTTTGGATGTTCTGGGTCTCTCTGACCCAGCTGCAGTTTGTTAGGTAATTTTCAGATTGCAAAGGGCCAGGCCTTTCCTATGCAAAAGCCTCTGTGCACAGCTTGGGTGGGGCGGGGTCTCAGGAAATCAACAGGGCGGAGCAAACAGCTATGGCTGATCCTCAGTCCTACCCTAAGAGGCTCTGTGTCTCTGTGTCCTGTGGTAATCGCTGCAAGCACCTTGGAGAGAAAGCTGCCCTCGAGTTCCGACCGGTGCCAGACAGTCCAGTTTCTCCCCGTATGAGTCTGGGTCCCCAGAGACTCGCCTGGAACTGGCGTTCAAAGCAGTCCGGAACCTGTGTCTCCCTCCAGATTGAAAAAGACAGCGGCGTCCTCAGTTGCCAGCCCTTTCCGCGTGCGCCTCTGTACCTCTGCACTTTACTTCCGCACCTCCTCTGAGTCTCAGTGTGCTGTTCTCTTTGCTTCTAGTTGTAGAATTTCCACTCAGCCAGCCTTCCTGTAGTTCTGGATGATGTCTGTTTTGTCTTTTAGTTGTATTTTTGAAGTGGTTGTGCGAGGCAACAATTTCCAGTGTTTACCTATGCTGCCATCTTGGTTTCTCCTCTTGTATTATTATTTAATTATGGTATTATTTTCCATAAGAACAACTATACACCTACTTTTGCCCCACCCTATATAATTAAGTCAAAGGAAGAAAGAAAAATGATCATCACCAAATGGATTTAACAAGCTTATCCTTATCCTCCCAAAATCTTTAGCGTCTTAATGTCCTAAGACTTCATATGTCCTTGATTCATTAATATTTATCTTGTTATTCTCTTATACGAATGTCTTGAAATAATTTTTATCCCTTTATTTGTAGACCATGTCTGTAGATATGCAACTGCGACATTATGAGATGCAGCAGCAACAGTTTCAACATCTCTACCAAGAATGGGAGCGAGAGTTTCAGCTGTGGGAGGAACAGCTTCATTCCTATCCGCATAAAGATCAACTTCAGGAGTATGAAAAGCAATGGAAAACATGGCAGGGGCATATGAAAGCCACTCAGACCTATTTGCAGGAGAAAGTCAATTCATTTCAGAATATGAAGAACCAGTATATGGGAAACATGTCAATGCCACCTCCTTTTGTTCCGTATTCTCAGATGCCTCCACCTCTACCAACAATGCCTCCTCCGGTATTGCCTCCATCGTTGCCACCACCAGTAATGCCCCCTGCCCTACCTACTTCAGTGCCACCACCTGGCATGCCCCCACCTGTGATGCCACCTTCTCTACCAACCTCTCTGCCCCCACCTGTGATGCCTCCATCTCTGTCTTCAACAGGGCCACCACCAGTTCTTCCCCCACCTCCCCTCTCTTCTGTGGGGCCACCACCAGTTCTTCCCCCACCATCTCTCTCTTCAACAGCACCTCCACCTGTCATGCCCCTTCCACCATTATCTTCAGCCACACCTCCTCCAGGAATACCTGCCCCTGGGGTTCCACAAGGGATACCTCCTCAATTAACAACAGCCCCAGTTCCATCAGTCTCTAATTCTCAGAGTTCACAACTTCCAGAGAAACCTAGACCAGCATTACTTCCCACTCCTGTGTCTTTTGGTTCAGCCCCACCCTCAGCTTACCATCCTCCATTGCAATCAGCTGTTGGCCCTTCAGAACAAGGGAATTCTAAAGCTCCTCTGAGCAAGTCTACTCTGCCATACAGTTCGTTCTCGTCTGAGCCAGGACTTGGGGAGTCTTCAATTGCTCCATCTCAGCAAATCACTGCAGTCAAGGACATGCCAGTGAGGTCAGGTGGACTGCTTCCAGATCCTCCTAGAAGCAGTTACATGGAAGGTCCAAAAGGGCCAAGGTAGGTCTGACTTGTTTGTTTGTTTGTTTGGTTGGTTTGGCTGATTTGTTGATTTAGGCTGAGTAGGCCTTGATGGTATAAAAAACTTCATTTATGCAATTTTGGTACTCACTTTATCCTTTTAATCTAAACACAATCCTGGTTTACAATTAATTATGCTAGCGTTCACTTATTAGACATAATGAAATCTAGAAATGGTAACCATTTCTTGTGATGTTACTACTTTATCCTATATGTAGAGATTATGGTGTAGAATGAATGGATGTTTCAGAGTGATGCTTATCAATTTCTTACTGACGTTTCAGCTTCAGAAGTAGTATTGATTAGACTTAATTATCTTTTTTTCTTTTTTTATTTGATAAATAACTTAATTGATAACTTCTCTTTGTTAGCTTATAAGCTAACTGTTGGAGATAAAGATGAATAAGCCAATATTGTAGTGAAATAAGGCAATGAAATTTAGTATAAAGGTATATAAAACTTTTGTTTTGCCCATTTGTTCAGCAAATATTTATTAAGTTCCTATTCTGTGTTTATAGCAGTGCATATAACAGAACAGATAAATGTTCCTCAATTTGGGAGATGTTTTTCTTTTGTCTAAACCACTTTTTTAAGAAAAAAATATTTTTATTGATTTCAGAGAAGAAAGGAGAAAGAGAAACATCAATGATGAAAGAGAATCATTGATCAGCTGCCTCCTGCATGCCCCCTCCTGTGCCTTGACTGGGAATCAAACCGAGACCTCCTGGTTCATAGGTCGACACTCAATCACTGAGCCACTCCGACTGGGCTGAACCACATTTTTATGTAGAAAAGTGCACACAAAAATTTACTGGTGGTTCCTGAGTTTTTCTATTTACCTTTTAAAAGATGTTAAGTTCATTTTTCTAAGTTTGTAAAAGTATATTTTTCTCCCAGGGTTGACCTAAAGGATAATTTTCCTACAGAAAAAACATTTCAATAAGATTTTCTTCCAATTGGAAATTATAATATTCATACATCCTCCTTATACAAAATTTAGATAGGACAGAAGAGGGCTGAAAAAGTTAAAGTCACCTAATTCCACTGTCGATTATTATTTGGAGATAATAGTTTTTAAAATAAATGTTTTAAAAATGGCATCATACTACGTATATTGTCTTATAACTTTTTCCACTATCAGTACATTGGTTAATTTTCCATCTTAGTGTCAGTGGATCTACATCATCATTTTTAATTTATACCTGATTTCAACAATTGACAACAAAACATATCTTTTATTTGTTCCCCAAGTTTACAATTCTGAAAACAATACAGCACAAACTTAATCCAAAATCAAAGCTAATCAGAGACTATTAACATGAGTTCCTCTGGGTACTAGAAGCCTTGCCAGAGACTTTATATACATTGTCTTATGGAGTCTTCTCAACAACTTGTGAATTTGTATACCCTACTTTTACCCTTTACAAATGGGCTGGGAGGATTGGGTAACTTGCTCAGGATTGAGTCACTGGGACAGTGGAGCCTGAGTTTATACCCAGAGAATCAGAGCAAAAGCACTAGTTAAGTACTGTATGTAACGCCAGGTTTCAGTGATATTCATGCTCTCAGTGACGTGCAAACTTACAAATACATTTGTAGTCTTTATTTATTTGGTATGTGTATCTTCTTGATTTGAATTCCTACTTTTCTACTGGATTGAGTATTCCTTGTAGATCTGGTTACTGATTTGCTATCAGAGAAACACATTTTTAACCCCTCATGAAACAAAGATTTCCTGTTCCCTTCTTTTCCTGTCATATTAACATTTCTCTCCTTTGCCTATCAAATCTTAAGTTTGTAAATTAGGACCTATTTTAAGTTATTTTCTTATCTCGTGATACAATTAATAACTATGGCGCTAGGAGGATCTTAGCAATGATATAATGCAGTATCCCCTCTATAGCAACTCACAGTTGTGTGGTATTTTAGTTTGTCATCTTGTGCATATTACCTTATTCCTTTCATTGATCTCTTGAGGTAAGTAGATAAGGAAGCTGAGCTTTGGAGAGGTTATAAATAAATTGCCCCAGATGACATAGCTAGCAAATAGTTAAGATGGGATTAGAATCCAAGGCTTCTGATGCATTTACAGGTTCATTGTACTTTCTGTGACAAGCAATTGATGGACTCTGCTTAAATACTGACAGTTTTCTAGAAAGTTTATTTCTTACATTGACCCTAAATATATTACTGTAACTTCTACCTGTTGACTCTAGATCTACTTTTATGATACAACACATCATGAATTATCTTCTCTCTTTTACGGTGTGCTCCTACACTTATTTAAAGATGATCCTCTTCTTTCCCAGCCTTCTTTATCCACTCTGCTCTGCCATCACATAAACTCAAATTCTTTTCACACTAACATTGGTTCCAACCTCCTCCTGCTTTATTGCTCACTGTCCTTTGAGGAGCTTTTGGTTCATCAAGTCTCCTTCAGAGGCAGAGGACCATAGATCTAGTTCCCACTTTGTTATAAATAATATTCTAAATTGCCCTCTTTTGGTCAGCACTCTCAAATATGATTGTAAGTACAGCTTAGTGAATTTGTTCAAAGTAGACGCACCCATGTTATTACTACTCAGATCAAGAAATAGAAATTCTAGTGTATGAGTTGTCCCCCTCATGTCCCTTCCATTTTCTCGTTTTATACCACAGATTAGCTTTGTCTGTTTTTGAACTTTATATAAATGGAATCATACTGCATGTACTCTTTTGAGTGGCATCTTTCACATGACATAATGTGAGATTCATCCATGTTGTGTGTAGCTGTAGTTTGTTCATTCTCATTCCTGTACAATATTTTATTGTATGAATATACCACAGTCTATCCATTCTGATATTGACGGTCATTTAAGTTTTGTTATTATTATGAAAATACTGCTGTGTGTCTTTTGGTGCTATATGTCTCATCTTAGATGCATACACATATGTGTGTGGATGTTTAATTTTGCTTAGATTAGATATATACCAAAGATTGGAATTGCTTGATCATGGCTATATGTTCTGCTTTGATAGATCTTGTCAAACAGTTTTCCAAAGTGGTTGTTTTAATTTACATTCTCACCAGCAGTGATTCTGTGTTCCCGTTTTTTTGCATCCTCATCAATACTTAGTATTGTTAAACTTTTAAATTTTAGCCACCTTGGTGGATGCTTAATGGTATTGTAATATGGCTGGAGATTTTACTTATGATAAATTTCACATCTTTATTAGAGCCTAGAGTGTACCTGTAGAGACATTTATCTTTTGATTCATCTAATAGTATTGATACAACTTCCTCTGTCACTTTGCTTTTCTTTGTCCTTATAGTCAGGAGATGAAAATTTCTGAATTTTCAGTTGTGCTGAATAAAGTCTAAAAGCAAAGGGGTGTGACAGTTTATTTCACTGTTGCCTCATCCTTCTAGCAATTCTATCATTCTTTTGTTGTCTTTGCATTTCAATCTTCTTTGGCATCGTTGTGGATAATTAATAAGTAATGATGAGTATTAATGAATTCTAAGATAAGGAAATCACAAAATGTTCTAAGATCTAGAAAAAAATAAAATTCACTTAAGATCTTATATCATAGATTTGTGAAAGGATCCAATGGACCCATATGGTAATTGCAAGATGGTTTAAATTTTGTTCTGTTTTTTAAAAAATAAATTTTCTCTTTGTTCCCTGGAAGGCTGGTAAGAAAAAAGACAAAAACCCTGGCTGGCATGGCTCACTGGTTAGAACATTGGCCTGCACACCAGAGAATCGTGGGTTTGATTCCCATTGAAGGACACATACCTGGGTTGTAGGTTCAATCCCTGCCCCCAATCTGAGCATGTGTGGGAGGCAACCAGTCAATGTGTCTCTCTCACATCCATATTTGTCCCTCTTTCTCCTCTCTCTCTATTCTTCCCTTCCCTCACTCCCCTCCCTTCCACTCTCTCAAAAATCAGTGGAAAAATATCCTCACTCCTTAGGTGAGTATTAAAAAGAAAAGAAATCATGAAATATTAATCTCTGCAAATAAACTGTTTTAAAAAACCCTCAAAAACTACAGTTGGATCCAGTGAACTCCATGGGCTAATGGTGTCTTTTGGTAAATAGAAATTCTTGATTTTAATTTAGTTGTAATTTTAATGTATTGATCTTTTCTTCCTTTGTGGTTAGTGCTTTTTTGTGTCCTGTTTAAGAAATCTTTGTTTACTCCAAAGCCATAAATACATTATCGTATTTTATCTTCTTTCTTTTATTGTTTTACCTTTTATTTTAAAATTAATAATCCATATAGAATTGGCTTTTTTGTTAATGTATGGTATGAAGTAGGGGTCAAAATTCTCATAAGTCAAGTAATGATATGTGTAGACTTGTTTCTGGACACTATTCCTTTGGTTTATTTTTATGTCCTTGCACCAAATATCACATTGTTGTAATTACTGTAGCTTTATAATAAACCTTAATATCTTTTAGTTAATTCCTCCAATTCTATTTCTAGATCAGAGGTTGGCAGACTTTTTCTGTGAAGGACCACATGGTAAATATTTTTCTAGCCCACCTGGCTGGTGTGGTCAAGTGGTTGAGAGTCAACCCATGGACCAAGAAGTTACTGGTTTGATTCCTGGTCAGGGCACATGCCCAGGTTACAGGCTACATCCCCAGTAAGGGGATGGTGCAGGAGAGAGCCAATTGATGATGTTTCTCTTTCATTCATGTTTCTATCTCTCTATCCTTCTCCATCCCCCTCCCTCTAAAATCAATAAAAATATATTTTAAAAAATGTTTCTAACCCTGGCTGGTGTGATTCAGCTGATTGGGGCGTCATCCCTTGCACCAAAGGTTGCTGGTTTGATTCCCAGTCAGGGCACATGCCCAGGTTTTAGGCTCGGTCCCGGTCCCCAGTAGGGAGAATGCAGGAGGCAGCTGATCGATGTTTCTTTCTGCCTCTCACCCTTTCCCTTCTTCTCTCTCTAAAAAATCAATTTAAAAATATTTTTTAAAGTA